CTGATACTCCCTCAACATATGGAATGACCACTGGTCTGGGTCTGGGTTCCTCCTTTTCACCTGTTGGCTGACTGGAGTCCTGTTTGGGTTTCTTCTCTGCTTTCAGGAAGGCCCAGTTAGGATATCCACATTGCTCTAGAGCCTGTCTTGTGTGGGATTTCTCCTTCTGCCTGGCTCCTGAGCTAGTGGGGACGCTGTCTGCTCTGTGATACAGAATCCTGATGACTCCTAACTTGTGCTCCAAAGGGTGATGGGAGTCAAACTGCAAATACTGGTCTGTGTGGGTGGGTTTGCGGTACACCTCAGTTTGCAAATGTCCTCTATCAGAGACTGACCTCACAGTCCAAGAAAGCCAACCTGCCATTTTTTACATCTTCTCGTGTGAACTTGATGTATTTATCCACAGAGTTAATGTGGTCAGTAAAATGTTGGACTTCCTGAGATTTGATTTTAACCGAGGTGTCGTCAACATACCTGAACCAATGACTTGGTGGTGTCCCTGAAAAGGACGTCAAGGCTCTCTTTTCTACCTCCTCCATGTACAGGTTGGCAACAATAGGAGAAACTGGAGACCCCATAGCACCTGTACAGATCCAGTCCCCCGGCACAAACAGAGCAATGTTGTGTATGCTGTTCAGTGTCAGGAGGGTTGTGATCAGTCTTACATCGGGGAAACTAAACAGTCACTGGCCAAAAGGATGGCCCAGCACAGAAGATCAACATCATCAGGCCAGGACTCTGCGGTCTACACTCATCTCCAGGCCAGCGGTCACTCTTTCAGGGATGAAGATGTTCACATCCTGGATAGAGAGGAACAATGGTTTGAGAGAGGAGTAAAGGAGGCCATCTTTGTGAAAAGGAATCGTCCATCGTTAAACAGGGGTGGAGGCCTACGTGTTCAATTGTCCCCCTCTTACAATGCTGTGATTGCTAGTATCACTCAGCCCTCTGTGAACAGTAAACAGCCATCAGTGTGCTAATGATCCATTGGTAGGCTGATGGTCCTTCTTGAGCACGTGATCAGCTGGTTTTGGTTGTCAGCAGCAAAACTGGTTGATCCACTCTGAGACGGTGCTATTTAAGAGACTGAGCTGAATACAGCTCCTCAGACTGAGGAAGTCTCTCGGATGAGAGACGAAACGTTTCTACATTTTTTTGTTGATTTGCTTTGTTTTGTTTTTTTGAATGTCCAGAGGACCAGATTTAACTTTTTTAGAGGTTAATGTGAGTTGAATTTGAACAGCTGACATTTACTGAAAATAGGAAAATAAAAGTTGAAAGCAGCAGAAAAATTGCAAAAAGTGTAGAAAACACTCGTTAGAAATGAAATGTAGCAGAAATGAGCAGAATATGCTGAAAAGGGCTAAATAGATTACGAAAACATCTGAAAGTGGCTAAAAAGAAACTGACATGAGCAGAATAACGTATTACGAGTAACAGAAAAATCCAAAATAAAAACAAAGCTGCAGTTAGCCAAAATAGGCTGAAAGGAGCTTAAAACGAAATTATGAGAAAGAATCACAAAAGGTGGGAAATAAGAACAAAAAGAAAAAAAATAGACTAAAATTTTAAAATTAGCCGAGAAATACCTAAAAAGATTTAATCTAGCAGGAAAAAAAAGCTGAAAGGAGCAGAAAGAAGCTGAAGGCAACTGGAAATAAAACAAAGAAGTTGAAAAAAGCTGAAATAGACCAAAAATTGAAATGAGCAGTAAAAGGGTTTAAACAGTGCAAAGGGTTGGAAGAATCAATTAGAAAAACATGGCTTAAAAAAGCTAAATATCTCAAAAAGTTAAAAAAAATTACAAATACAAAAGTTATACTAGGAAGGTGCTGAATGAGCTGAATGTTTTGACATATGACTTGCTGAAAAATAACAAATACTGCTAAATGAGTTACATGTGAAAAATGTTTGGGGGAAAAAAAAGATTACAATAGATGCTTTGGAAACATTCACACAATAATGTGTTACTTTGTAAGTAAAACCTTTTCAACTTTAAAATCTTGCTCGATTGCAAAATAAATAAATACATGAATGAATAAATTTATATCTAATGATTTTTATCACGAGTAATAAGAATAGTTACTACTGTTTGTGCTGGTGTGTGTGTGTGTAATTCTCACTTTTCCGGGCTTCTTGCTCTTTGCCCAGCAGAATGTAAAGATACCGTGGGCTCTCCGGACACAGTGGTAGCAGAACCGACTGTAATAATGCTGGCGCTCCAGACAGACCAAGCAACAGGGGCCACATTTCATCATTACCAAGTACAAAGTCCAATCCTATTATCTACAAACAAGCACATTTACTTCACAGTACAGGCTCAGTGTGTTTTCAATGCAATGTTGTACAACTTGTTACAAAGTTGGGATGTTTTGTAAAGTGTACTGTAAATGAAATGCAATGGTTTGCAAACCATACAAAACCATTGGAATGTAGTAAATATTTCAGTTTAAGCTAAGAAATTTAAAAAAAAATACAAATGCGAAAAAAAAAAGGTTGTTTTGAATTTTATTATTATTATTATTATTTATTTTTGGCAAAACGTAAAAAATGTTAGGACAGAGGCAAAAAACATGCTGTAAAAGGTTTTACAAGTAAGGAAACCAATTGATGAGCATTTTTCACCAAATTATGTTAAATGACAGCAGGTTACCATGAGTACTATATAAAACTAGAAAGTTCCTAGAGAAACTGATGGGGACTGCCAAGTTGTACCCATTGAAAAAATTATTTGGCAGTACTATATGTTGGGGTTCGCTGTCAGCTACAACCATGCCAAATTTCAGCTACATAATGAATGAATGAGTTATAGCTAACTTAGTGTTTTCTGAGGTAGCTGTGGCAGCCATCTTGAACCAAAATGGCTCCAAACGTTAATCAGTTCTAGAGATGCATTACTTTCTGTGAGTTTCAAACAAAAACAACAAGCTGTTCATGAGATATGTTACTAACAGACAGACCATCTAAGTTTACATGTATTTCTAAACGTGTGTTCCTGAAGTCAGGTCAGAGATGTGTGTGTGTGTGTGGGGGGGGGGGGGGAGTGCAAGGACACAGAGGCAGAAGAGGCCGATGTGGCAATATCTTGGTTCAAACAAATAGCTGTTGTGTAAAAACTATAAGGTTATTTGAAGAAAAGAGAAATGTTTTGCCTCAAATGAGTCGTCGGGGGAGACGGGGGACTCCAGAAACCATCTTCACACTATCAAACTGGTTGACCCACTATGTGAAGGTGCAGTTTGTTGTGGCTCCTTGAACTGATGAAGACTTTTGGATGAAGGCCGAAACGTTTCAACTAAAAGAAACCATCCAGAGGACCTGACTTAATTTTGTACAATAATCTACTTAGATTATTGAACATGAATCAGGAGGTCTTTTGAAGAAATTCTTGAAGTGTGAGTGAGACAAGAGTTTGGTTCACACTCTTGTGACTTTTCACATTTTACAGCTCTATACTTCAGAGATGTGATGAGTTAAAAACACTCCTACAATGTCTAAAAGGTCGTTTTCTGCATTCTGAAGCACCTCATGAAAAAAACACAACTCCTACAGCCAGACCAGACATACGGCTGGAAAGACAACAAAAATGCCAATGTTTTGATATGTGTGTGTATTTTAAAAGATGTGGTGGTAGGAAGAGTGTCTTCAATGACATACTGAGTTTTGTTCAGGAACCTCTTCAGTCTAGGTCATTCATTCATTCAAAATTTATTTATACAGGCTAACCTCATTGAGCCACGGGGACTCATTTACAATAGGGACCTGTTCCAGACAGAACATATAAAGTACAGACAACAATAACAGTAGACAATGACAACAATAAACTTCAGTTCCTGTTGCAAGGTGTTCCAGGTGCAGGAGCTGAGTAGGAAAAGGCCTTTTTGCCAAGTTCAGTCTGCACTGAAGGAATGCTGCAGGTAATTATGGCCTGAGAGCGTACGTTGTAACCGCACTGACAGCGTGACATGCGGGAGGAGATATAAGAAGGTAGCAGACCAAGGAGGGATTTATAGATGAAAATGAACCAGTGTGAGAGCCTACATGCAGATAATGATGACCAACTGACCAAGGAGTACAGGGTGCAGTGATGGGTAAGGTAGTTACAACCAGTTATGAATCTTAGCTTGCCGTGGTAGACAGCATCCAACATCTGCAAGGAGCTGGCAGGGGCATTCATGTAAATATTGTCACCATATTCAATGGCCGGTAGGAAGGTCTTTTTCAGTGAAGGCTTTACATATTTCAGCAAGACAATCCTAAAACACACTGCATTCATCTCAACAGCATAGCAGAACAGTTCAGGTGCTGAACTGATTTCAGTTGGTGTCACCAACAGGACACTTATGGCACGTCATGAAGAAAATTCATGATTGTTGAAGAGTTAAAATTCCAGCAACTGGTCTCTTCAGTTTTTAGATTATAAAATATGGGTTTCTGAGACTTGCAAATCATTGCATTCTGTTTTTTTTTTCTTCTATTTTTTATAGTTCTTACAACATCCCAACATTTTAAGCATTGAGGTTGTATTTGTATGTGTGTGGGGTGTGTGTGTGTAACTCACCTGGCTGATCAGGATCCCAATAACAGTAGCCAACTGGTGTATAGCTCCCAAAGCTCCTCTGTATGATTTGGGTGCAATCTCTCCAATGTACATAGGCACTAATCCAGATGTTAACCCTGAGACATAGGGATGGAATTGTTTTATTCTTTCAACTCTCCAGCTGTAGTTCAACTTTGAAAATTATAACACATGAGTTAAGGTACCACAGTAGAAGCCCATAACTGCACGGCCTGAGATGACCATGATGTGGGGTTTCCACATCTTGCAAAGACCCATTAACAGTCCAGCAGCTACAGCCAGAACATTCACCATCAGCATACCTCTCACCCTGCGGAGCAGAGAGGTGGATGTCTGAGAGCAGATAATAAACCATGGCACCACAGTAACTTTTTTCTGCTAGTTTGTTTTCCTCACCTGCCTCTCAGGTCTCCCACAAAGCCCACCAGGAAGGAGGACACCATGCCACCAATGGAGAAGATGGCCACTGACAGTGACCAGTACATGACTACAGAGGGGTGATTCCCAGTCTCTGAGGGACTGGTATCGTCAGTGCCATTTGCAGCCAACTCAAACTTCTCAGACCACACACCCAAGGACCGGGCATAATGCTTTTCAATAATCTGGAACACACACACACACACACACACACACACACA